GGGACAGTGTTTCGAAAAAAGTGTAGGGGAGGCACTCATTTGGTATGTACTCATTTTTTTTAACCTTGTAAGTTGCATTATTTTTCATCAACAAAAAGAAAAGAGCAAAAAAAAAACAATAAAAGAAAAAAAAGAATGCTAGTTAGGTTGAAAACCCAGAAAAAATGGGCAATCTAAGCAGAAGTGGCTAAAATGAGTGAGTTGTGAGAAATGAAAAAATAAAAAGAGAGGCTAGGATGAAAACCTGAAAAGGCTCCTAGGCAAAATGAGAGAATGAGAGAAAAATATCTATTTATGCAGAAGATAATAATAAAAAAAGAAGAAAATGTTGGATGGTTGTTCTCCTACTTTTGTGGTTTTGAAAACTTCATGGGCAGATTTTAATTTACTCGAGACGAGTAAAGGTTCAAGTGTGGGGGTGTTTGATGGGCACTAGTTGTTAGTGCCTAAGTATACATTTTTATTATTGTTTGTAATGTTTATTTACTAGTTTTGTGTAAGTTTATAGTTGCTAGTTTGCATTTGATTGTAATCGTATTTTTAGCATTTTATTGTTTGTTGTAAGTTGTAGTTAGTTGAGCTATAAGTTTAGGATAGGTTTGGAAGCAAAAAGGATGAAGAAACCTGAGTTTTGTGCAAAACCCGGTCGGGTATGGATTTTACCCGGCCGGGTATGAAGTGACAAAGGAAACTGCTGCAAACTAGCAAATACCCGGTCGGGTATTCCATATACCCGGTCGGGTATTCTGTGATTTCGAACCAAAGAACGTGCAGAAGACACAAAAACATGGGAAAATATTTGATTTGGTAAATACCCGGTCGGGTATGTCAAAATACCCGGCCGGGTATCCGGCATTAGGTGTTGAAAACACCTATAAAAGCCCCATTTTCCTTCACATTTCATCATCCCTTCTTCCATTCTCTTTAGCTCAGTTTAGAATATCATTTCTTTATATTTTTCTAGCTATGTTTAGCCTCCAAATGAGGAGCTAAACTTCCATTCTTGGTTTTGCTCTTGAAGCTTGTTGATTATTAAAGTTGTGAGTTATTTTCTTAACTTCTTTCCTTGAATATTAATCTCAAGGAAAGATTGAATGCTACTATTATATCGGTATAAGGCGTTGTTCTATATTTGATTAATAGTAAGGGTTATTAATGAACGGTCGTTGTTAATAACTACCCTCGATGAATTGGAGATACTCCTCGATTGAGTATTCGAGAGGGGATAAGTTATAGATATAACAAGGATCGACTAAAATATATCAACAAGTGGAAAGTAGTAATGCCAAGTCCCTTTTATTCTTGAAACTTGAATTAAACACATATAGGTTGTTCATCTTAGTTTCTTGATTAAATTAAATCACTCAATCCAAATCCCCCCTTTATTTACTAAAATTCATAGAAAGAGAATTATACCTTTCCCTGTGGATATACGAACTCTACTACACTATACTACGTATAAGTGTTTAGTATTGAAATTATTTTGACGCACCGTGACAAAGTGCTCGTCAGCGGCGGATAATAGTGCATGGTGTTTACTATTTGCCAGGAGCTTCTTTTTTCGGATTAAGCAAATCCGAATATGTTTGTTCCATGGCGTTTACTATATAGCTTCTTTTTTTAATCTCTATTTTCAGCCCTACGATCTCATAAATACATCCCAACCATCCATCTTTGCACTAACAGTACACACCTCCAACCATCCGACTTTGTACGACGGTTCAATTTACATCCTTCCAACGTACCGTTCGGTCGGTGTTGAGGGCTCTTAGGGATGTGGTGTCATCCTTTTTTTGAGATAATTATTACTAATATTACTAAAACAATATATCTTTCCCAATATATGACTTCACTAGTTTTATTCCTAATCTAACATCCTAATGTCATGCTCCATGAGTGGTAAGGGTACTATCAATAAGGAATTAGTTACGTATCAACGTATTGTAATCACCCCATGTATGTGTTTGGTCATATATTACATACAAAAACATGTATAGTCATATTTTAGGAAAAGTCTTGAGTTTTAGTAATATTAAGGTATTTATCCCCCTTTTTTTGTACGACAGTCCACACCCCAACCCAAACATTTATCTATTTAAATCTCTACAACATCATAGTTATCCCAATACCACAATCATCCGAAATTTATGCAATCAGTCTATATCATGAACACAAGTTGTGAAATTGATCACTAATTATTTAATATGTAGATGAAATTTTAATATTCACACTAGTGATTCACTTTTTTAGACCCGGATCATAAAAAACCCCAATTCGATCCATTAAGGACACAATCATCCGAAGTTTGTGCAATCAGCCTATATGGTGAACACGAGTTGTGAAATTCACCATGAGTTACTTAATATATAGATGAAATTTTAATATTCACACTTGTGATTCACATTTTTTAGACCTGGATCATAAAAACCCTAATTCGACCCAGTAAGGATACAATCATTTGAAATGTAATCAACCTACATCATGAACACGAGTTGTAAAATTGGTCCAGGACTCCTTGTTATTGTTTATGGAATTGAATCATGTCTCCAGCCCGAATATATCTGAGTCTTACTACTACATTTTTAGACCTAATGTAACATTAGAGATGTAACATATCTATAATATTGTTACCTATTTCTCTAATGTAACACTTTTTAGACCACTAATGTAACATTTTTTTACCATTACATTTGCTGGTGTTGCATTTGACCTATTGTAACACTTTATAGTACCTGATGTAACACATATACTTCTAGAAAGTGTTACACTAGGTCTAAAAAGTGTTACATTAGAGAAATAGGTAACACTATTATGGACATGTTACATCATTAATGTTACATTAGGTCTAAAAATGTAGTAGTGGATCTGCAGGATTTTGAGGGGATTGTACGATCTCGATTTCGGATCCGATCTAGTTCCTAAATAATTAACGTCCGTGAGAAATCAGAAACTTTAGATTTAGCATTTATAAATAACTGTACAAAATGCAAGAGAAGGAATTGTAGAATTAAAAGTTCGAATTAAAGTTTGGGAAATCACATATATGTTACCTCAGTTATCCATAAAATTAAAATTTCAGACTTATATTTCTGAGATTGTAAATGTCACCCCTCAATTGTCCAAATTGTTATAAATGTGGTCCTTTAAATTTGGGGTGGGCATAACGGTTCGGTTTGACCAAATTGAGCCGTACCAAACCGAATTAAACCAAACCGAAATCGAAGCATTTGTAATTTGGGTTGAGTTTGGTTGTATTCCTCCCAATCCGTATTAAACCGAACCAAACCAAAATCATAAAAGCGAATAAAACCGAATAAAACCGAACTAATCTAAAAATGAAATAATTTCTTATTTTTTTAAAATAACAAATCAAAACCAACTTACACCAAACTAAACCAAACCAAAATATAAGATTTCTCTCATTAATTTGATTGATGTTAATCTTTTTGATGCCTTAATTCTTTAATTTTAGTGTCCAGGACTAAAGTTTACTACAAAAGTTACATCCACAACTATAACAATTATAGTGGTTTAAGTAGATAGTATTTAACTATATACTCCCTCCGTCCCATTTAAACATTCCCACACGTTTGACGACGTTTGACTGACCATAAAGTTAATTGATCCCTGTCATTAGTGAAATTTTTTTAGTAAATAAAATTTACATATTCAGAAACTACATTAAAACCGCTACAAAGTCTGATCAAGAAAATTTAAATTTGACAAAGGTTGTATATATAAAGTAAAAGATTAAGAACAATGCACATTGACCGGAGAATAGTGGACAGAAACCTTTAAATAGGACAGAGGGAGTATAATTTATTATCTACTACTACAATATATTTTGTTCATTACTTACAATCACCAATTTTGTTTTTGTTTCGACTTTATATATAATTTAATTCATTCCTGTTGTTGTTGCTTACAAATGTGTCATGCTTACATATTTTTGGTTTATATGTGTTATGTTACTGTTTGCAAATTTATATCAAACATTATATTTGGTTCATTATTATCGCTTCTTGGTCCATTATTTTGAGTTATTTTTTTTATTTCGATCCAAACCTTAATACTTTGGTGAACCGAACTCCGAACCGAACCGAACCATACCAAACCGAAACCAAATCGAAACTTAATCGGTTTGTATTTGGTATATTTTCTATCAAATCGATTAAACCGAAACCGAAGAAAACCGAAATGCCCACCCCTACTTTAAACGGTGAAATGTACTCTCGTCCACATTGTATATTTGACCCCTCAAAAAGTCTACATTTACAGCATTTTGGACAATTGAGTGGTGACATTTACAATCTCAGAAATACAGGTTTGAGATTTTAATTTCGTGGATAATTGATGGATAACTGAGTTTTTAGTATTATTTCATTATACTACCTACATAGTACTCCGAAATACTACCTCCGTCCCAAAATTAACTTCTCATTTCGATTATCATACTTGACTGACGATAAAACAACTCGATCTCTATTCACACTCAGATTAATTTTAGTAAATAAAATTTACATATTTAGAAACTACATTAAATGATCAAAACAAAACATGTAAATTTGATTAAAATTTGATATATAAAAAAAGATTAAATGTAACTTAAGTTGACCATGAGAATAATGAATGAGAAGTTTGAGACGGAGGGAGTATGATTTAAGGATAAATAGTACTCCGTATTACTTGTTATCTTCATTAACTTTAAATTTTGAAGAAAGGAAAATTGTTTCCTCCGTTCCTTTTTAATTGTTACGGTCAACATTTCAGATTGTCAACGTACAAGTTTGACCATTAATATCTTTCATTTCTTATTAGTAAAAAATTTTAAAAAATCATTTTTTAAAAGTTAGAATGAGAAGAATTTAACGATATTTTTTGAATGTTTAATTTATAATACATTAATTAATAAAATATAATCAAAATATATTTATGTGAATAGTGTAGAAAAGAAATATTGCAATTAAAGAGAAAGAAGTTTGTATATCTGATCCACGATGGAAGAGGCGCTCAATAAAAGCCGACGGTTCATATTATCGAGAAATGACCGTTGTAATAATTTATCATAGCAATTCACAAGAAAATAATAACAGCTGCAGCAGGCAACCAAACTGCTCATCATTTAATCGGGCAAATCTTTCGAAATCTAAAATAAAAACAAAACAGATCTCTTCTGCTTTGACTCAACAATTGTTACTATGGACAGGAGCAATCCTCATCCTGACCTCAGCGGTGCGGCGGATTCCTCAGCAAACCCTCCAGCCCGGCCAAACCGCAACTCTACCGAGCTTATCCCCGTAGATCCACGCACCGCCGATCCCGTCGTTTCGCCCATGTTTGAGATAACTGCCGCTGATCGCATGTACACAGTTCCAAGAGGCTCCGTCAATCTCTTCGTCCCTGACGCCCAAATGCTTTTCCATGTTCTTGGAATCTGCGACCGGATGATGAACTCCACTGACCGGTTTATCCGGTCATCCCCAGGGTGGCTCCCAATCGTCTCCCAGCTTTACATAGCCGTGCTCTGGAATTTTATGATTCTCAAAGTCTCCCTCAACTCCGGACACGGCGCTATGGTTGACCTGCCCCATTTTCAAATCGGCGAATGCATGGTTCCCGGCCCACTAGTCCCATTCTTCCAGTCCCTTGGCGCAGTCAACGGCCCGTTTGACTGGATTGGTGATATTGTCTGTCCCTCATCTGCCTGACTTCTCAATTTTCTGGAACGCCGTGGGGTTCCATCCGAATAGTGACTATGCCCGCCAAGTTCCTGTCCCGGCCCTTATCCTCGACCAGCTCTACCACTTCGCCAGCTGGCAGGTTCCTATGTTAGACAACTTCGAATGGTATGGGAACATTTTCTCACAAGATATCCACACTCATAATTCCTTGAACCGCACGGGGCCACAGCTTTGCGGGTCTCTATGGACCTCGAGTGCACAACTCGAGGCCGCAAGGCAATTTTGGAGTGCGACTTTTGATGATAGCAGATTCAGTCGGGTGGATGCGACTCGTGATCCATTCTCTCATTATCATCAACTTTTCGGATTTGTGTCACAAGCTGGGAGCCCCGCAATATGCGTGGTTCCAGCGTGCTACAACTGTCATGCATAAGTACGCTCAGTACTTTAATGAGTCTGTCCCCCTCAAATGCATCTCTCCGGTTGGTATTGGTGCTGTCGTAGTTCATGGCGATCCGATAAGCAACGGACCCACTCGAGACTGGATTTACCCTAGGATCGATGATATTGCTCCGTTTCTCACCGGACGCTTCAGCCCACGCCGGGAAATACCGGACGATTTTGCGGTGATATTTCAACATGCTGACCGTGAGCTTGTAGTACTGGCTGAACGGTATGCTATAGTGGCTCACACCAACATCCGATGGCCAGGTTCTATAGCTGCTCAAAATGATTGGACTGCCATCAACAATGGGAATCTCCATGTTGGAGATTACTGGCGAATGAAAAGCCATCGGTTTTCCTCGCCGATTAGCCTTAAATCTCAGTATGCACAGATGATAGCATCACGGTATCACCTAGTTTAGTGTGAAACTAAAAGGTCTGCAAACTCTCGTTTTGCTTCTCATCAAGTACCTTATGGAGGTAATTTTTTCAAACCGCTAGTACGATGCATAAACAAGGACCTAATCGTCCCTTCTTCATCTGTACAAGAAGTTGGGAAATTTAAAAATTTTAATTATACTCTCTTCATCCATTTTGGTTATCTTATTTGTGAATTGTGAGTTCATGTATGTTGACTTATTTCGGTTCGTTTTCTGTAAGTTTTAATATACTAGTAGAAACTAAGGGGGGTCCATGTGTATGGAATATGCCATACAGTATATTTTTAATATTTTTTAATAACTCAGCAGAATCCGCGCCAATTTAACCACTTCAACAATAACTTAATCATTTTCATCTTAATTAGCCAATTTCTGCTATCAATTGTTTGATTTGTATCTGGATTTTCCTTAAGAGGCCATTTAGCAAGTTTTCAGCTAAAGGCCGGTAAACAATTATTTAATCAAAAACTATTTTATTTAAAAAATGCTATTACTAACGACAAGTCAAAACAGCCAACATAAATTACCATCATTTATCAGCTAACAACTTACCACCAATTGTCAAACACCCTCGTTAGATTTGCCACAAAAAACACCCTTTTTAGGGTATATCATATCCAACCTCTTTCCATTGTGTCACTCCATATTTATTTGAAATCCTTTAAAAGCCTGCTTGATAATTTTTATGTTGAGTTTATCACTTAATTATTGATCAAATATGTAAATTGTGTTTTCACGTGTTGAATTTCGTAATAGTGAAAATAATTAAAGTTGAAATTATCTAATATTCAGTAAAAAATAACATTACATGAATTGAGCTTCTTAAAATTTATTTCAACAACAAATTATATTCTTCAAAATGAAAACATCAAACCATAAAAAAACAAATAATGATAATTATTACACAAAGGCTAAAGAGCAATGTCCATGATTACATAATTAAAAGGGAAAACTGCTACTATTAACCCCTTGAGGTTATGCTATAAAAACTTGCATTTTCAAAAATTAATTACACTATTACCCTCCCAATTTTGATCATTCTCATGTATGCCCCCTCATGTTAATATCAACTAAATTAAAGTTTAATATAACTCTTAAATTCAATTTAAATTGTATATAAAATTAAATTTTAAGTCAAACACAATTTATTTTCATAATTATAAGTCATTTATCTTGATCGTTATTTTGTACTTAGTTACTCGGTCATGGAATGGATATTAATGAAACTAATTAAGGCCGAAGACTCACGGGTTGAGTAATATTCATTGGACACGTCAAAGAAAGTTGTTCAAAATATGTGTTATCACAATTCTAGACACCTCTTCATCATGAATATAAGTCTTATTTGTAATTCATCAGACTGCATTAATCTCAATGACATTTGTTTCGTGTGCAGCAAAGAAGAAATACCAAGGAAAAAGGGATTTTAGTAATCTATGACCTAAAAGATTTGTCTGGTATAAATTACGGGCCTAAAAATAGAATGTATGATATAGGATCTAAATAATAGAAAGTTACCAATATATCTAAGGCTTAAAATTAAAGATTTCTATTTTTATTAATTCCATTACTAATTTTTTATGTTTTTTCTTCACAAAAAATTTATAAGTTTAATAATATTAAAGGGAGAACTATCAAATAAGCCCTCGAACTTTCATAAAAAGTCCAAATAAGTCCTTTTACAGGAGGCTTTGTCCGGCTGTCGCCATTTGGGCCGGTTTCCGGTGGAATTTTTTGATGAATTTTTTTGAGCATCTTCTTCATTAAGTCTAGTTTATCCATACCAAATTTAAGCTAAAACTTCAATCGAGAAGTTATTCAAATGATTTTCTGAAATATACTGCGCTGCCTAACTGCGCAGTTATCTTCAAAAATTCATTTGAGTGACTTCTAGATTGAATGTTTAGCTGAAATTTGGTTTGTGTAAACTAGACTTAATGATTAAGATGCTCAAAAAATTTCATCAAAACATTCCACCGGAAACTGGCCCAAATGGCGACAGCCGGACAAAACTTCCTTTAAAAGGGCTTATTTGCACTTTTTATAATAGTTCGAGGACTTATTTGATAGTTCTCCCTTTAATATTATTAAATGATATTTATTTTTTAAAATTAAAAAGTAGAAAAAATCATGATATTCTATATTACATGTGAGTCTTCTCTTAACTACATTCATCATTAATATTTATTCCATAATCGAGTAGTAACTAGAAAAATAACGATCAACAACATTGACTTACGTAGTATAATTATATATATGATGATAAATTTTGTTTTACTTTAAATTTAATTTTATAGAGAAATTTCATTGAATTTTAGAGTTACGTTATATTAAATTTAATTTAGAAAATATTAGCGAACAATGAGTGATAAAAAGTCATGGGTAACTATTTAATTTTTGAAAATGTAGGGTTGCATTTTTGATAAAAGATCATCAATATTACACAAAAGAGAGTATTCATTGTTTTGATTTATTTATGTATTCTATGTTGAGGAAATGGATGGAAGTAAATGTCACTCCAATAGGAAACAATTCCTAAAGAGGCTACATGTGCAGTGTAAATTAAACATGATGAATGCTACAAAAAGCTGGCGTGAAGGGAACATTGATGGCAACATTAAAATCAATTCCGCAAGTAATCCAGCAGAGCTGGTTTCAAAATCAAACAAAAAACACACAGGATTGGCTAGGGACGATGCCACAGGCAGGTGATAAAAGGTTGCAGTTTTTCCCTAAGCTTGGCAAATCTTCTAACGGTGTAGTCAACTGGGTAGCAGTGATACGCATTCTCATTTAGAGCATCAACTGCGTGTTGTTCTATGACTGAAGACCAAAAGTCAGCTATAGCTCGGCCTTGGGCTGTTCTTTGGCCTTCAAACAGAAAGCACTTCATCCATCTCAGCTCGATCCGGAGCTCCTCAACATCGTCACCCTGGCCATAACGCTCCAATTTTGACAGCTTTGCATCTAGAGCGGATATGGCCTTTTGACTGTTTGACTGCTGCATCTTTACAAAGGGAATGAGGAAGCCAGATGCAATGGTTGATAACTTGATCGATACACGGCCTTTTCATAGGAATGACAAAATTTTAATTTGGAATATAAAAGGTCTTCATAAATACGTAGTAGTTAAAACGTTGGGTAGCTAAACAGATGATTACCGTATATTGTTGAATTCCAAGAGTTTAGCGTCACATACCATATTCCTATGCATTGCAGTTTTCCTTTCCGATAGATATAAAATGCTTGATTTTATATGACTATCACATTTGATTTTTGTCAAATTTGATTTTTGACATTCACATAATGTTCGTTATAGTATCTTGCACTAAATTCATCTAATTGAATATAATATACACCCACCCACGACCCACATACCTTTTTCTCTTCCAAGTAACGGTATTGTCCTTTGATTGACTCTAGAGTCATTGGGTGTCTCAAAATTAAGACAATACTTGCACTGATATTCTAGTATAGCGTACTAAGGTTCGTATTCAAAGTAAAAAGTAGTAATTCTTTGTGAGAGTGTAACAGGGGGTGGGGGGTGGGTTAAGTTTATTTGAGTTGAGAATATTTAAACACTTAGACCAACGACTTGTGTGATTAAAAAATCAATAGAGACAGAACTAATTGTCATTTTAGCAACACTCTCCAACATTAATATAGAGATAGATTAAGAAAAGAATTAATATTAAAAGGAAGAAGGTAAAAAAATAACTCACGACTTTAACATTCAACAAACTTCAAAAGCAAAACCAAGAAATGGAAGTTTAGCTCCTCATTTGGAGACTAAACAATGCTAGAAAAAAAAATATTATTTTAAGTGGAGCTTAAGAGTATATGTGAATTCTTGATTAAATGGGAAGAAAAAGGGGTATATTTATAGGTATTTTGAGGTGACTGTGTATGATACCCGACCGGGTATATAGGGTACCCGATCGGGTACCTTAGGTAATCGGAAGTTGATGAAATCACATCCAACCAGATCGGGTTGAGGAGCAACCCAACCGGGTTAGGAACAAAATGTGATTTTCCACGATCTTTTTATCTTCAGCACGTTGCTATGTTCGATGTCAACTCCAACCCGACCGGGTTAAGTATCAAATCATATATTTCCAACGATCTCTTGATCATCGCAACGTTCCATTGTCCATGTTATCTCAACCCGACCGGGTTTTGTATAGTGGCGGACGGTATGATGTTCAAGGGTATGCACTTGAACACCCAAAAATGTCAATTTTGTTTTATCAAAACGACGTCTGAGTCGTTTTACAAAAAAATGAAACGTCATCCCACGAGCGTATTCCAAAATAGGTCTTGAGATTCAGCTGTTCAAACATGCGTATTCCAAAATAGGTCTTGAGATTCAGCTGTTCAAACATGCGTATTCCAAAATAGGTCTTCCCCAAACTAAAATTTTCCGCAGTTCCGCCCTTGCCCGCTCCTGAGTGAAATCCGAGCTCCGGATTCTCTCATTCTATGTCGACCGGAGAGGCGGTGACCAGCAGACCAGATCGCCGGATCCATCGCGATCCCAGTCATCCCACGACTCCACGAGCCCGACCAGCTCCAGATTCTCCTGCCGTCTGCAGGTCGTTGATTGCAACTGCTTTCTTCAAGTATTTTTTATTTTTTGAGTTTTGATTTTGAAAAGAGAAGGAAATAGGAATCATATACTCCGTATTCATATGCGTATGATGATGATGAATGATGATGTACTTACTAGTGATGTATGGGCATATTGGCATATGGATAAAGATGAAAAGATGAAATGCTCCCGAGGGCCAAGGGCCTGCCGCCCTGCCACTACTTTATCCCAATGGTAAAGAAATTCAATAACCCACTATACCATTAGGTAGAAAATTAGAAATTATTGTTAAAATCAGTTTATGTAGTAAATCTCTAATACTTTATTAATATATTATGGAGTATGTTTTACTTTTTAATGTAGTAGTTTTTTGATTAATAAAGATACAATTGTTGAATTATAGTATTAGATATGATTATTGTGATACTTTTAATTTTACTTTAGTTTCGAACACCCAAAATGTAAAGGCTATATCCGTCATTGGTTTTGTACCAACCCGACCGGGTTATATTCCAACCCGATTGGGTTTCATACCAGGATTTATTTTCATTTATCTTCTTGCCTTCCTTTGGAACCTGTAATACTCTTTTGCGTCCCTCATGGTACATACACGCTAAAAAATACAAATTACAACCTACAAAATAAATCTAAATAGTACATAAAGAACTAAACTAAACAATTAAATACGATAATCAAACAATACTAAAATAACAAACTTATGCACCAGGAAATAGTGCATATCAATTTTCAAATCTAAAAACATGTTCATCAATTTTTTTCACCCGATTCTGTGAATACTCAGAAGACCAAAAGTACTGTCCCAATCCGAACCGAACCTAGTACAACCAAAGTAGGGTAGCAGGTCCCACGTATTGAAAAGCCGGGATCGAAACTGATCGGTCTCACTCGATCTCAATGATTAGTTTGACTAATTCTTTTCTCATTTTTCCTATTGGTTAACAACTTAACGGCTCTCTTAAACTCTTCACTTTAAAAAAAGATTTAAAAAAAACCAAAGTCGAACCATCAGGTCATTGATCGGATCAGACAAGGACCATCGGGTCATTGATAGGACTTGCCCGGGACCACCCGGTTGTCGATCGGACCGAACAGAGACCACGGGGTCATTTGCTGAACAGGAAAGGGACCGTCGAGTCGTTGATCGGACACGACGAGGACTGTGGGATAGTTGACCGAACCGCACGGGGACCGCCAAATCGTTGATCGGGTCAGGACTGCCTGGTTTTCAATCATATCAAACATGTACGGCATGGTCGTGAATCGGACCGGACACACTACCGAGTCATCGACCGGACAGGATAGGGACCGTCAGGTCATGGACCATACTGGACAAGGACCGTCGGGCGCCGAGTCATCGATCGGACTTGCAGGGGCAACCAGGTTGTGGACCAGAACGGACAGCGACTGCCGAGCTGTAGACTGGATCAGACAAGGACTGCCAGGCCATAGATGGACCAGATCAAGACCGTTGTGTCGTCGATCGGACTAGACTAGGACTCTCGACCGTTGACTGGACCGGACAGGGATTGCTAGGTCATTAATCGGATCAGATAGAGATCTCCGGTCGTTGACCGACTTGGACCTGACTTACATCGGAGCAAGATCGGATCCATCGCTAGGCTTAAGTCTGCAAATTCGTTGTGGCGGCACTGCAGCATACTTGTTTTCCAACTTTGAAAAACTAGTAAAACTCACTTTTACAATTCATTAACGAAAACAGAGTCAGATCTCATTTTTTGTTTTGGAAAATGATTTGGTAAACTCATTTTTCTGTTTTTCTTCGGTTTTCATGCAATTTTTTTTTGGTAAAAACGTTTTTTGTTTTGCCTTTTCTGGAATTCTAGTTTTTTGGAAAACTAGAAAATATCCTTGTTAGTAAACAGAACCTTATATTTCCAATTAGTCGAGGGTAATTATTAGCAATGAGACACATTTCTTAATAATTCTTACTATCTAGCAAATATAAAACACGTATCAACCCGATAGTAGCAATAAAACTTGAGATGAGGGGGGTGTTTGGTTAATGGAGTATCATCAACCATTTTATGACCTTTGGAGTAATATTGATTGTTTGACTTTGTCAAACTGCTATTATAGGTGTTTGGTAAATAACTTTTTGATTTGATTGTTTGCTAAAAAAAGCCAACAACATAAAAAGCCATTTCTAAGTAGCTTTCTACAACAACTTTTTGATATTATTATTATTTAAAGTTCTAATTTACCCTGCCATTTTAGCCCCTCGTTAATTATTTTATAAATTATTCAAACAATAAAATAAAATGATAAATAATTATGATAATATAATAACACTGACAATAAAAATTATCATGAATATAATTCCTATTTTATATTATCATTTTAAAATTTACTAAAAATAATCATACTTAAAATATTAATACTAAAAATACATGAATTTGTGTATGTATAATAGCTAAAAATAATACCACGTACTATTTTAGAGAACTTTTGTATTTGTGTGTGCATGTATATATATTATTAATAATAATAACAAATAATTGATTATATAAAATAATGGTTAATGCAAAAAAAATAAACAGCTAAGTTAAATTCACATATATTTTGTATTTGTATATGATAAGCTCATATTTTAAAACAAATTTCGTGTGTGTTGCGATTGGTTTTAGCAATTTTCTTAACTTGAATGTATCACAAATCACTTAATTAGCTCAAGACATCGTTTACCGGGTTTTGTTTTGCATTTGGTATTTTTAGAGTAAAAATCAGGGAATTAAACTCGGCACCGGCGTGAGGGAATTGTTCGCGAAGATCTGGAGCACCTTTGAGAGGCGTTAAGAAGTAATCAAGGGCTATGTGGCATCAAACAGGGAAGAATAAAAGTCAAAAACGACAATTTGGACCACCGCACAAATTCATATAACGAGAACGAGGAGAAGGACGAGATGAGGAGGATGAGGAGGAGGACGAGGATGAGGAGAAAGAGGAAGACTTGCGGCTGGAGATTTGTGGCTGTGGAGAGAGAAGTCTGGTGGGTGAGGAGCTTAGTGTCTTGAGGGGGAAGTGTGCGATGACGGGGATGAGAGATGCGTAGATCTGTTGGGCTGGGTTGGTCTTGTGTGAAGATGGAAAAACGATCACATTTTTTGAAAAACCTGATATATTTATGGAAATGAAAAGGCTGGCAGTCATACGTCTGCCAATATTTCCACATTATTCTATGGACATTTGCGACTTCCTGTCAATTTATGTTGACATTCTTTGACTCGTTTGATAACATTTATCCTTTTGTCCATTAAAATTTCTTCCACAAAAAGTGTCCCATTTTTTAATTTGATCAATATCATTATAATTGTATTATATTGTACTCCTTACGTCCGTTTTTCTTTAGCCAAACACTAGTTTCGAAGTCAATGATATTCGATCAACTTTGACCAATTATATATTTATACACGGTAATAGTGATAAAATGAAAATAATAAGAAATTATTCTTTGTTCAAAGTACTATCATAAAGTATAAATTTAGTAAGTTTCACATTAATTAATACATTAGGTAAAATAATGGATCAAAGTTTATCCTCTTTGACTAGAAAAGTCAAAGATGGCTAAATAAAAAGGGACGTAGGTAATAATTGATAATGTACTTGAAAATGTTTGTATGGCTATACATTATTCTTATATTATTCTTACTTTTGTTTACTTCAGAGGATCCGTGGGCGGGGTTTGGGGTAAACTGGGCTCAAACTTA